GTTATTGGGTTACCAGGGGGAGTGTTATCGGGTTACAAGGGAGAGGGCTATATCATAAGAAAGGGTGTGACAAGAAATCGTAACGAATTGGGTAACAGGAGAGACGGATGGAAGAAAAACCAAGAGGGAGGGGTGGGGTGTGTGCTAAGGAGATGGTCACGGAGAAGGGGGTGAACATGATTGCCATCAATTTCCCTGATTACTCTCAGATGACTTAGCAAGTCATCATCACGAATGTAAAACAAATGTTGCGGAGTTCTGTTTTAACGAGATGTGTCTTCAATTATCTTTAATGTCCATCACGCTGGATGTTCCTGTAAAACCATACAGTATGTGGTAACAAGTCATTATTAGTGTGTCATCTTTTGACGGAGTCCAATCTTATTTTTATCAGTGAAATATTGAACACGTGGTGTGTTTAGCTTGTAAGAAATTAAAGAGCTTATAGTATTAATTTTGATTTGTAAGCGCTGAGGTAACTCATTTACAAGTGATTATAAAGTTTATTGTGAAATAGGAGTAAACACTGTTATGTTAAAAGTCGTTTCGGTGACGTATGTATTTGTTGATATTTCATGATCCATATTGACACCAGTGAAGCAAAGTAGTGGTCAATATGGCACAGCCAAACTGACCAGTCAGTGATAAAGGCAACGCTACTCAATTACTTGACCACGAATTATCACCCGTGTCCAATTGAGGCATAATCAAAATGCCCAGAGTTCTTCTCGAGGTCAATTAGGCTACTAATTGATGAGTAGGATACAGGACCAAATTTCCGGATTCAATTAAATAGTGGTTACTGACATCTTTATCCGAGTTTAAATATTCGGCTAGGATATTTGTAATCTCTAATATTGCCACTTTAGGAGTCTTAATAGTAACTTATATATTGTTTTATTAGTAACTGTTGTATCTTACTAAGGTGATGCATACAGCCACAAGTCAGGTCATGCAGTGCAAGGCTCTCTATTTTACAAGATTTTGTTTTCTACGGAAGCCGGTACGGGCCACCGAGAAAACAATGTTGAGTCGTTATTGAGTCGTAATAACGACTCACTGTCTCGTAATAACGGCTTACTATCTTGTAATAACGACTAACTTTCTCGTAATAATGACATAGCTATGTCGTTATTACGAGATATTACATTGTAAGTCGTTATAACGACATAACATTTTTTTTTCTCGTTGACCCGAACTAGCTTCCGTAGTTCTCCCCTAGTAACCAAAAGTTGTGACGCACTGAACCAATCGACGAATGCAAACAACAATAGGTCCCGATTATTTCAGCGACATTTACGCTACAGTAAAGTGACGTCACTATTCCAACCTCGTTGTCGTTTTGATCGTCATTTCTGTAGTCAGTTCAAGTGTTCGTGCGCAAATTGAGCACTATTACGGGGAAATGATGAGAAATGTATTACAGAAAAATATGATATACTTATAAATGACAGTTATAAGCTTGTATTGAAATAATGGATATGTTTTACTCGGGCTAAGACCCTCATGAGACACCGACACATGCGCAATGCACTCGTGCAATCTGAAACATCATACGGAAAGAGGATATTTGGAGTTGGGCAAAGATATATGATAAAAATAAAATTGCAACAATAAATGAAAATATATTGACTTTATGTGTTTGAGGCTGCGTAACTGTCCCCGGAGTACCCGGAGAAGACCCACGTGGTCGGGCAGGTGACCCCAACCTTTTCACGTCCGATCGGGGAATCGAACACCGGCCGACTTGGTGAAAGACAAGTGTGAAAGGCAAGTGCGCTATCCACTGCACCACCCGATCACTTTTGTAATGGGAACAAACCCATTAACAGTACAGGGCCGGAAAACAATAGGTAAGGAAATCTGACGAACTGCAATATAATACGGGACTAATGGAAGTTGTAGACTGGTGTCATGAATTCAGGCCCGGATGTTTCTGCTGTTATACAGTTCCTAGAGTAACATTACAACACGGACAGGGTTTAAAACATCGGCAGTACTAAAACCACACACATAATTACCAAGTGCTAATGTGTAACCGGTACTAAAAAGCATGGCTGTCATTGAACCAATATTGCCGCATTATTATACATGGTGTATGTTTCGTTTTACGGTATATCATGTGTAATCGGGTAGTAGAAAGGGTTTTACCTAAACCAATACATATCATTAAAATACATAGTACTTTTTTAGCTGTATGTGAAGATTTCTTTTACCCTCGACTTTACTAGTATTATATGTATAACTCTACCTATCACACCTCTGCTTGGTTGGACAAAAACGTACATACTTTATATGAAAATAATGTACTCTTCCAAATACCCAGAGTTTATTATTTCATTTGCACAAATAAATCAATATTTACTCCTGCTCCAAACTGTTTTTTTGAGGGGACACAAAATCAATACAAATATCCGATATATGAATATTATAAATAGTACAAATATTTGATAAATCAATAGTTCATAAGGTATGGTTATACATTTCTGTATATCTTTCTTGCAAGGCTAGTACATTAATTCAATTTCAGTGAAAATATAGAAAAATATTGAACTAATGTCCTTCAAATATTATGGTTAAATTCGAAAATCATAATAATGATAATATATATATATTTAATCCTTTTTGTTATCTACAGCTATAACAGTATCAACTATGTTGTATCATTGTTATATAAGTTAGTCTCTCATTACACTTGAAATTCTGATAATATCTATGTTTAAAACTCATAAATCTTAATGAAATTCGCTCTCCTTCCTATCTTGTTTGCACACATTTATATCATCCCAAGTCTTATGTTGTAAATCATATATTATTTTGATGCCCTTAAAATACAAATTACATCATTTGAACGAGAGGTACCCCCGAGTCATCCTCAAGTGCGAGCACTTAGCGCCATGTTTGTAAACGTTATGTAAAACTAGCTAATGAGCAGATCACCTGCCCTCACGAGCTTGTAGCCATACTTCTAGGGTAGTTAACTCAGGCTAAAGAAGTACCAGAAACACCTTTTTTAATTGCTTACAGAAGAATCCTTAAGTGCGGACCCTCAAGCTCTTGTGTTCGATCCCACAGTTAATTTCCTCAAGTGTGAAAACTTGAATAGAAACGCTTGTCTGTATTGAAGATTAAACGTTTGACTTTTTATTGGGTGACAATCTTCCTAGCTAACATTTTTGACAGAATAAAAGAGCTGCACTTGAGATATAGCCGACGGCGGTTAGTTTTGGACTCGATTGTGACAACCTCCACTTTCTCTTTAAATACTTCTGTATTGACCCAATTCCATTATTCAATATGTGCTAAGGAAATAAAAAACGGATGTTAAATAAAAAGTTGTATCAACTTACGACTAGATATCCTATTTTTTGTGTCTAGCTATTAAGAAACTTCGCATAAATCATATAAACGTGATTTGTTGAAATTGGCTATCCGTCTGTATTTTTTTGTTTTTATTTAAGGGTGTTGTTTTGTACGATGTTAATATGGGGTCACTTTAGATAACCGGTGTTGAGGTTAGTTCACCAGTCCTGTTACAGTTGATGTTTAAATACAGTTAATTAAATAGGAAAGCAAACATTCGATACTATTTATCCTGGTATTGACCTCCTTATTAGTCATAAAACATCTCTGTTTATACAGCACAGAAAATACAACTCAGAGAATACAAACACAAAAGTACATTTACGGCTTAAATTATTTTCAATGAAGATATTTATGTGTTTATAAAGTAAAGTATTTATGATAGGTAATGAAAAAACGTTAACAGCCCAGCTTTGTTTTATTTGTAAGCATTGACTAAATCTAATATATATTTGAGATACCCACAGGTGTGTTTTTCCAATTAATGATTTTTCAAAAATGCTTTCCCCCATGTACCATACATAAGTATCTACATGTAAAGAAAACACATATAAATCAATTAGAGATTCTGATAATTCACAATACATGTTTACTCGTTATCTTGAATATTAAAATTATTGCCATATTTAAGCTACTTTCTTTTAGTTATAATACGACGCGCAGATTTTTGTTTTAATAGCAAAAAGTGAAGTAGTAAATATGTCGTTAGACGTCAGTAAATATTTATTTAAATATTAATCCAATCAACTTATTCTTTGTATATCGATGGGCAAAAGAAATAAATATTAAACGGGAGGGAAAACACGCATTAGAACTCCCGGCATGATAGATTAGTGTAATTCGGAACAGAGGAGAAATATAATTAGGATTTGCCGTGTACTGTGTTCAGTTGTTTCATACCCCATTTCAAACCATTTCCTTCTCCTCAAACGTGACTATTTGTTTTGACATGGAAAACTATACACTTGACATATTTAGACCTCTCATTTCTTTGAAAGAGTTATAAATAACAAATCACTTTTAATCGAAATCATGTTTTGCAGCTCTGAGAATTTATCTATAATTTCTTGTCATTAAGCAAGGTTTCAAGATTATATTTTAATTTGACACATTTAATTGTGTATGACTCCGATGTGCCTTAAGGATTCAATATTCAATATTCAAGGAAAACAATACACAGAATAAAATTTAGATATTATTACACTGATTTTTAGCACATTTATAAGTCCTACTCAAACCAACAATTACAATTTGTAGATGCAGTATTATAGAATATGCTGTTATAAATATAAGGTCACGCACATATTTGTTTACGTAATTCTAATGAACGTTTTTATTAGTAACGTTTAATTTTCATGTCATACCATTTTACTTACAGCAGTTAAATATTCAAAAACTAACAGTCACGAAGCATGTCAACCACCCTAAATCCCTTGGACATCTCTATCAAATTTCCATACCGACTTTTTCTAAACTTCTTATTTAGAAATTATTCATCTAAAATCGAGGATAATTATTGAACAAATGTCGCAGACAGACATGTAGCATGTGTTCTGTTAGGAAGGTAATTTTGTGATTATTTCGAAGGGACATGAATTGTCGCTACACGACGAACAGATTGTGGAAATTATACCAACCTGTATGGGTCCTCTTGTGGATCTTGAGATTCTCACTGCGGGCGAACACTTTACCACAGCCCGGGAATGGACAGGGAAACGGTTTCTCTCCAGTGTGGACACGGATATGGTTTACTAGTTTGTACTTGGCCTTGAAGGGCTTCCCCTCACGTGCACAGTTTTCCCAGGTACACATGTGCGTATTCTGTTCGGCACCCACGTGCTCTACTGTCAAGTGCGACACAATTTCGTGCATGGTACAGAAGATCTTGTTGCAGGGCTTTTTCGGGTCCGGTCCCTCAGGATCGATCCATAGACACGTGTGTTCCTGCTTTAAGGGGGGTCTCATGTACCTGAAAAACGCTCCGGGCCCGTGGGGGCCCATGTGGTTCATGGCGCCCATTGGGTTCACGTTGAAGGGTTGTGTGGTCCCAAAATGGTCCGCGCGTGGTCCTGTCATGTGATTAAACTGGTCCGCACGTGAGTACATATCTGTGGCCCCAAAACGCATGCCGCTGTTGACATGGTGACCGGGGTTGTGATGTGCCGCAGCATCATGGATACCTGGAAACAGCACGTGGTTGGAACTCGAGTCCGGATGATGAGCGGAGTGGAAATTTCCAGAGGACGGAACAAACATACCCGGATGTCCTGTGGTGCCGGACTCGGACAGTCCAATGTCCGGTCTCCGCAGAAGAAAATCCCGTGCAGCATAACTACTGACGTGGGAGTGAGGTAACCCGTACCCGTTAGACTGCGCCCCAAATTGGTGGCATGTCTGTCCATGAACTCCCCCACCCTCGGACATGGAGTGAGGGGGGCTAAGCTTGAGTGCCCCGGGTGGTAGGTGGGGGGCGTGTGGTACATCCATGAATGGGTTTATCATTGTCCAAATATCGGAATTCCAACAATAACAACATATACAAAATCCAATATCACTCTTGTTTGAAAAACCGTAAAACAGTTAATTGGGTTGCGTGACCTGTTTGTTGTCAGTAGGTATAAATAAGCTGGCACTGCCTTCAAGTTCCCGTCAGTGATAAGTCGTGTTATGGTTACATGTAGCGGTGATGAGTTTACAGCAGTCTGAATCCCGCGGTGCCCCTGCTAGGGAATTCCTTGGGGTCCTCCCTGCTTTCGTCTTGAGCTAGCCCTTCCCACAGTAGGACCGCCACATTTAATAAAAACCAGTTCCTCGACATAAAGGCAATCTCCTGTACAGTAGCGGCGAAATAAACATTACCCCCTTAGATTTCTAGTAAAAATCAGATTAAAAGTTTTTATTCCTTGCAGTATCTTCATTAGTAACCGTTCCAAAGAGTAGTGATGTCAGGAGAGAAACGCAGGACAGAAGGCGTGTCTCTGATTGGTTGATCGACGTAAATGTAGGCGGCGCCCAAATATGCATGAGTAGGCGTGGCCAATATTGACTGGGCGTGTCTCGTTATTTCCCCACTTGTGGTTTTGACAGCTTGACAGACAAACCCTCCGCTCATTTTGGTATTATTCAATGACTTTTGTTGACTTTGATTCCAAGCTGACAAAGAAACACATACTGTATCGAGGTGGCAGCGTTAGACGTTTATTTGTTTATTTAACAATAAAACTCTAACAGGGGTAGAATTCAGGATAAGTGTAAATATAAATTTTCTATTCATTTAAACAATAAATGTTCTCTCTCTGTAAAATAACGTTTACGTTTGTGTATTTAATTTAAGGTATTGGTAAACAATACAATATTGATTTAACAATGTTTTATCGACTTGAAATATCATATCAAAACAAAGCAAAAAAATATATACATGTTGACAATAAGCTACACGCCTGTATCAGTTTTTTAAAACATACAATTAGCAGACAGAGACATTGAGTTTTACTTCAATATTCATTAATGACCCGGGACACAGTTTTGAAGTAGTTATGGCAATATCAGTACGATGTATTTTATATAAGAAATACCAAAGTTAACGGAATTAATAACTGTTTTAGTATTTATGAAAATTAGAAAAAAAGAGCGGAAAAGTTCTTTTTACGTTGTAAAATGACTTCGTTAATTGATGTTTTGTATTTGGAAGTTCGCTGCGATGTGTCTGAATTAAATGATTGTTGATTGTTTAGTTAGTGTTCTAAAATTCTTAACATGTAACTTTTGGTTTACGGTTTATACAAATCAGAGAAAGGCTTCATACCATTATACCATCTGGAGCTATCCGTTGCTTTTACAATATGTAGGGAGAAGTATTACAAACGGTTGTACTTTATAAACCCTTCAGTTTCTTTTTGTTTACGATAGTTATGACGACGATGCACATTGCATTGTTTTTACTTCCCGGAGATATTTTCGGCAAGGTTTTCTGTGACTGAAAAAACTCACTAAAACATTTGTACTTTTCAGGGAATGTTTAAATATCGTCAGCATATGTTTCTTTAAATTGATGTTGGAACATTGAAGATTACGTTTTTAATTCCTTTTTGCCATCACATATACATGTACTACAATTGAATGCTTGCAACATTATTCTCTGAGCTGTAAGCTAAAGTTCATTTATCATAATTCAGTACAGTTACAGCCTCCAGTAAAAAAATCACCAACATAACAGGTTAAAGAATTATTTAGAACTGATTCTTTATAAGCTCAATATTAGAAATACTACGTATATAAAACTGTGTGAAATTGTCCAATTCATTATTGTTGTCAACCGTTCGAGTACGTATATATTTTATATAGTTAACGTTTTTATATATTTATCACAATCATAAAAATATCGAGAAGGCTTAATTGAACTCGATGACTGACAACAGCATACATGAAACATTTAATTCATTAAAAGTCAACAAGATTACAGAGAAACATGTAATATCTGTGGGTTTGTATTCAATATTGGACGAATTTCACTCTTATGTAGAAACTTCACGAAAGGGTGTGTATTTCATGGTATATGTACATTTCTGTACATTTTCAGGGAGAGATTCGGACTGTTAGTTCAGTGCAGTTTGGTAAACTTATTTGTCAGATTGGTACATTATGTTTGTCAGTTGGATACATTCTGAGTGTCAGTTGGGTACATTATGTTTGTCAGTTGTGTACATTATGTTTGTCAGTTGTGTACGTTATGTTTGTCAGTTGTGTACGTTATGTTTGTCAGTTGTGTACATTATGTTTGTCAGTTGTGTACATTATGTTTGTCAGTTGTGTACGTTATGTTTGTCAGTTGTGTACATTATGTTTGTCAGTTGTGTACATTATTTATGTCAATTGTGTACATTATGTTTGTCAGTTGTATACATTTTGTTTGTCAGTTGTGTACGTTATGTTTGTCAGTTGTGTACATTATTTATGTCAGTTGTGTCCATTATGTTTGTCAGTTGTGTACATTATGTTTGCCAGTTGTGTACATTATGTTTGTCAGTTGTGTACGTTATGTTTTTCAGTTGTGTACATTATGTTTGTCAGTTGTGTACATTATGTTTTGTCAGTTGGGTACATTATTTATGTCAGTTGTGTACGTTGTTTATGTCAGTTGTGTACGTTATTTACGTCAGCTGTGTACATTATGTTTGTCAGTTGTGTACGTTATTTTTGTCAGTTGTGAACATTATGTTTGTCAGTTGTGTACGTTATGTTTTTCAGTTGTGTACATTATGTTTGTCAGTTGTGTACGTTATGTTTTTCAGTTGTGTACATTATGTTTGTCAGTTGTGTACATTATTTATGTCAGTTGTGTCCATTATGTTTGTCAGTTGTGTACATTATGTTTGCCAGTTGTGTACATTATGTTTGTCAGTTGTGTACATTATGTTTTGTCAGTTGGGTACATTATTTATGTCAGTTGTGTACGTTGTTTATGTCAGTTGTGTACGTTATTTATGTCAGCTGTGTACATTATGTTTGTCAGTTGTGTACGTTATGTTTGTCAGTTGTGAACATTATGTTTGTCAGTTGTGTACGTTATGTTTGTCAGTTGTGAACATTATTTATGTCAGTTGTGTACATTATGTTTGTCTTTTGTGTACATTATGTTTGTCAGTTGTGTCCATTATTTATGTCAGTTGTGTACATTATGTTTGTCTTTTGTGTACATTATGTTTGTCAGTTGTGTCCATTATTTATGTCAGTTGTGTACATTATGTTTGTCAGTTGTTTACATTATGTTTGTCAGTTGTGTACATTATGTTTTGTCAGTTGTGTACATTATTTATGTCAGTTGTGTACGTTATGTTTGTCAGTTGTGAACATTATTTATGTCAGTTGTGTACATTATGTTTGTCAGTTGTTTACATTATGTTTGTCAGTTGTGTACATTATGTTTTGTCAGTTGTGTACATTATTTATGTCAGTTGTGTACGTTGTTTATGTCAGTTGTGTACGTTATTTATGTCAGCTGTGTACATTATGTTTGTCAGTTGTGTACGTTATGTTTGTCAGTTGTGTACGTTATGGTTGTCAGTTGTGTACATTATATGGGTCAGTTGTGTACATTATGTTTTGTCAGTTGGGTACATTATTTATGTCAGTTGTGTACATGATATGGGTCAGTTGTGTACACTATTTATGTCAGTTGTGCACATTATGTTTGTCAGTTGTGTTCATTATGTTTTGTCAGTTGTGTACATTCTGTCTGTCTGTTGGGTACATTATCTTTGTCAGTTGTGTACATTATGTTTGTCAGTTGTGTACGTTATGTTTGTCAGTTGTGTACATTATGTTTATCAGTTGTGTACATTCTGTGTGTCTGTTGGGTACATTATGTTTGTCAGTTGTGTACATTATGTTTGTCAGTTGTGTACATTCTGTGTGTCTGTTGGGTACATTATGTGTGTCTATTGGGTACATTCTGTGACAGTTGTATGCATTTTGTACATTAGTTGGGTGCATTCTATGTGTCAGTTGGGTACATTTTTTTTGTGTCAGTTGGGTACATTCTGTCTGTCAACTTGTTTTTTTTGTGTCAATTGGGAACATTCTGTCTGTCAGTTAGGTACATTATGTATGTCAGTTGGGTACATTATGTATGTCAGTTGGGTACATTCTATGCATGTTAGTTGTGTTCATTCTGTGTGTCAGTCGGGTACATTCTATGTGCAGTATCAGTTGGGTACATTTTTTTGTGTCAGTTGGGCACATTCTATGTGCATTATCAGTTGGGTACATTTTGTATGTCAGTTGGGTACATTCTATGTTTCAGTTGGGTACATTTCGTGTGTCAGTTGGATATATTTTGTGTGTTAGATTGGTACATTCTATGTTTGAGTTGGGTACATTTTGTGTGTCAGTTGGATATATTTTGTGTGTTAGTTGGGTACACTTTGTGTGTTAGTTTGGTACATTCTATGTTTCAGTTGGGTACATTCTGTGTGTCCCTTGGTTACATTTTGTGTGTTAGTTGGGCACACTTTGTGTGTTAGTTGGGCACACTTTGTGTGTTAGTTGGGTACATTCTATGTATCAGTTGGGTGTGTCAGCTGGGTAGAATTTGTGCACTATTTGTGTGTCTGATAAGTGATGTAAGTCAGGTGTTGTTTTTGCTCGTAATAAAATGTTTAAACAAATAAATGAGACGTCATGTTTCCGGAAAAATAGTAAACGGTTGTGACTGTGTTATTATACGATACAACAAACATGTTTACAGACAAATTACAGTATTTCGAGCATCATGAAGTAGGTTATTGTTTTGTGTACTCCATGTTAGACTTCACTTGTATAGCTACAGGTATAACGATTGTACGTGATACTTCCCTCAGTGACAGACCCAGTGCCCCCACTGCCCTCCAATACCCCCCCCCCCCCCCCCCCCCCCCAAACCCCCCCCCCCCCCTCCTCACCCCTAACACGCACCAACTGCATACAAATGTGAACCCCTCTCTCACCAGACTATTGTATGTATGTACACTTGACAGGCATTTATTTGTAAAGCAATAATACTAAAGAATCCCTGCAAAAATATCCATGCATATATATATATATATGATACCATCAGTTCTATCTTCTTGTAATATGATGTATATGTACATGTAACTGTTCTGTTTCACTGTGTCTTGATAAAGGAGCGGTCGCTCCGAAATTTGACAACCTAAACTTGTCCACACTGTTGGAATTACTTCTTTGCCCCATATCTATATATATGATACTAATACACCCAACATAGAAGCATCTGGGTCTCTTATAATTAGTCCCCCCACGGAAAATTTTGAACCCTTCGGATCCTTTCGAAGTTTACAGACCCATACCAATATAATCTTATATACCATACATTTTTATCTATTTTGTGCAATATTTTTATATTGTGACAAAGTAACCAAAAACTTCATGGAAAATACCAACACCGAGAAAAACCCGAGATAGGTAAGTACAAATCTGATGTAAAATATCGTGGGAAAATCGCCAATTAGTC